GAAACCGGAGGACCCGGAGAAAACCCACGAGGTTTGACAGGCGACCCTACTCCTTGTCACGTACAACCGGGGAATCGAAACCCCGCCAATTGACTCAATGACAGACCGTATGATGCAGCGCAGCGCGCATGTGCTAACCATTCGGCCATCCAATCCAGGACTAAAATATGGTTTAATTTTATTTCAACAATCCGTTTGCGCGTAGGGGTCTTTAGCAGTGGGAGGAAACCGGAGGACCCGGAGAAAACCCACGAGGTTGGAAAGGCGACCCTACTCGTTGTCACATACAACCGGGGAATCGAAACCATGCCAGTTGACTCAATGACAGACTTTATGATAATCAAAAGTAAATGAAATGAAATGAAATGGGGTTTAACATCCTACTGTTCTGCTCCTAAACTGGGCTAATGAAGACGGGCATACGCCATACAGCATGCTATGAGGCAAATTTTGCCCGGCCAGCGGCACTATCGCCTACTCTTATATCGAATTCCAACTTCCAAGGGATCTTTTACGTGCATTCCAATGTATACACAGGACCTCGGTTTTTCGTCTCATCCGAAGGACTAGACAGCTGTCCTTGTCAGGCCTAATCACAAGTAAGACATTTTGTCATTTGTATTAATATGTCTGATGCCAAATTGCTGAGTTATCTGCCCATTTTAAAATTGCCTATTTACATCCAAATTGCTAAGTGATCTTCATTTAACAACCAAATTAATGCACAGTGTGATAATGGAAAAAGTTCCAAACTGAATGTTTTCAAACTTTGAGATTGTTTATTGAAGCATATGACAACCTTCTTCAACACTGGGATCGAACACAGGACCTATGGGTCAGCGATCCAATGTCTTACTCACTGAACCACTGCGACTCCCCACAACATCAGAGGGAGATAGCGAGAGGGAGAGAGAGAGAGAGAAATGGGGTTTAACTCCACTTGACTTAAACTAGGTCATTTTAGGACTAACAACAGGCGACCCTACTCCTTGTCATGTAAACCCAGGGTATCGAAACTATGCCAGTTAAATTAATTGACAGACCTTACGATTCAACGTGCATGCGCTAACCATTCGGCTTCCCGCCACCCACCCCCCCCCCCAACAACAACAGAGTTCAAAACATGATTTGTTGACAATATTTGTTGAGTTACCAGGAATGTTTTTGCTGCTGGTGGGTTTACTGGGCGGTCTATGTTTTGTTTTTATTTTATATAATCGTTATTGTTATATAATGTACATGTTGTCATGGAAACAGTCTTCTTTATCAATAATAATTTCTGTTTACACATGGGTATTTATATTTAAAATAAAAAAAATATGTACATTTGAAAGGTAGATAACAGATTTTATATTAAAAAATACCTTTTTTTTTATACAGACAACAGAGCAAGGTTTTATTTATTTTGTGTGTTAAATTATTCAAATGATTCCACGATGATAATGCAACGAACTAACAAGGGATAGAAACTTTGTTCCGCGATCTCCAACTTATTTCTAGTGAATAAAATGACTCTTGAAAAACGAACTAACAACTATATGAAACGTTGGGTCACCTCAAATTTAAAATGCCTTAGACTTAGAATTTTACAATTTTTTAAAATTAAATTTGGGTGACTGAGTATCAAATCTTTAAAAACGAGTCAAAAAAAAACTTTCACATTTTTGTGTTTAACTTTGTGTTCATGTTAGCTCTCTGATAATACATTTTAATCAGAGATACAATTTTATTTTTACCAAGTTATTGCCCTTGAATTTTTTTTATTTATAGATCCTTGTGCACCCCTTAGAGACATAGTTATCATCTATGTGTACTAATGATTGATGAAATTGTTTACATCAATGAGACGAAGAAGGCTTTTAAAAGTTTTCAGATTTTAGACGTTACCGACTTACTGTCAAATTCTCGCGGCTTAATCCACACTAATATATATTAAGAAAACCTAAATTTTAGACTGTTACTTTTGCAATTTATTGCAAGGCTTTTATTTTCTTGACTAACTGGCTAGAGGATTTCAGTCATAGTCTTAGGAAATAAAATGTCCTGTTAACTGGAGAACAATTACATATTGATATAATTTAGAAGTTATTGCCCTTGTCTATAATTATCAATTATAATGTTATGATAAATAATTAAATGTTTTTGTATAAATGATGGTGGGTAAGTAAGAAAGCTGCTGGATTAGATCCTCGCTAACCTTGTATAAGCAATTGGGGAATCATTAGTATTTAGCCTTGAGGTCTGTATTCTATGGGGTTTAACGTCCTCTTGACACAAACTAGGTCATTTCAGCGGGACTAACATATGGTTCAATTTTATTTCCATAATTCGCTTGCGCGTAGGGGTCTTTAGCAGTGGGAGGAAACCCGAGGACCCGGAGAGAAAACCCATGAGGTTGGACAGGCGACCCTACTCCTTGTCACGTACATTTACAACCGGGGAATCGAAACCCCGCCAGTTGACTCAATGACAGACCGTATGATACAGCGCGAGCGTGCTAACCATTCGGCCATCCAACCCCCCAGGAAAATATGAGAATAGTAAAGTTAGTGTGATGAGGGTGTGGTATAGACAGTTAATCTAACGATGCTGTGCCATTGGAATTTGTCGCTAAAATATTAAATTTCTCACGGCTTAATCCACGCTAATATGTACTCAGATTGATTATCTGACATTTAATTAAGAAAGCAAAATAAAAATATCAAAGCTAGATAATCTTCTGGCTTGGATTCAATCGGTCTACCATTAAATTTTAGTGGACACAAAATCTTTGTGGGGTTATTGAATAGGGAGCAGTAAAGATCGATTAAATTTCAATTCCACTTGACTTTGAAAATGCTGAACAGAATTGAACCCTTTTTGGACTCGATCAGATTAAAACACAGATCCTTTTTCGTTCCGTTTTTTTATAGTTCAAAATTTCGTTTTACTTGTCTGCCACACTAGGATGTGGAGGAGTTGTCATATAACCCGCATTCTGGATGATGTGAGGGATTAGCCAATGAAACAGTCTATTACGGCGAGATTTTGGTGTGAGTTACACGGAACTGTGGGTAACCCACTAGAAACATCAACACTGATTGGTTTATCAAATGTCTGACGTCGTAGGGTCAAAAGCCTCTCATATGACCCTGATGCGACCTTCCACTACAGCGGGTCAGATCGTCATATAGTACATGCCTTCGAAAGTATAAAAAAACGAAATGAAATATAGATCTGGGCCCTGTTTCTCGAAATCTTAACTAAAGATAAAATCCAAATTTTAGTAGATACTTCAATTTTGATTGGCTAAGCACTAAAATCAATCTAATATTATCCAATCAAATTACTAAAATTTGAATTTTATCTTAGTTAACATTTCATGAAACAGGTTGTTTTGGACTGATATTCCTATAGAAATTCATCTTTCACAGTATTTGCAAGTGATTCCTATTGTTTAAAATGGCGCATCGGGACGGTAATGAATGCTTGTGATGGAGAAGTTTATTTAAGTTGATTGTATAATAATGTTGATGATTTCCAATCTTTCTGTGATATATGATATATATATATATATATTATCCTGATATCCTGATTTTAATCATATCTTTAATTTATGTGTTTTATGTAATAAATATTATTTTACAACTTTTTCTTGTCTTACCAGTTCACCATGGTACTGGGGGGGGCTATGTTTCGTTGCCTGGCAACCTATCTTTTTTTTAATACCAGTTCACCATGGTAATGTGAGCGAGAATTTTAAGACTAATGGACAGTAACTTTATTGCTAGGTTTTCATGAGAGGCGGAAAAAGTTGCAGGACCTCTAGTATGAGTCGAGTCCCAAGCCACATCACCTCGGTTCCGAGTCGAGACTTGAGTCACAAGTCGCTGACAAGAGAACCGAGTCAAGTCCCACCAAGTCGCTGATAAGAGAATCAAGTCGCATCCCAAGTCGTTGTGTAAGTGTATATACTGACTCGAGTTAAGTCCAAGTCGTTGTCTAGAGTACCGAGTCAAGTTGAGCCCAAAGTCGTTGTCTAGAGTACCGGTTTGAGTTGAGTCCCATGTCTCAAGCTAGATTTAGCTCCCCTCACTGCGGCTTCTTGAGTCCTTAGCTTTGTTGTCAGGACGACTGAGTCGAGTCTCGATAAATATTTCAAAGACAGATCCTTGATGCGAGTTAAGTAGGCCTTGAATCCGAGTTGCATCTCAAGTTCCAACCTCAGCTGGACAGTGCACCATCAAAGCAACGGGCATACGCTGTACATGATGCAATGAGGGGAATTTAAGACACGGGCATTTCGGAAAGAAAGAAAGAGATGGGGCTTAACGTCCACTCGACACAAACTAGGTCATTTCGGGACTAACACATGGTTCAATTTTAATTCAATAATTCGCTTGTGCGTAGGGATCTATAGCAGTGGGAGGAAACCGGAGGACCCGGAGAAAACCCACGAGGTTTGACAGGCGACCCTACTCCTTGTCACGTACAACCGGGGAATCGAAACCCCGCCAATTGACTCAATGACAGACCGTATGATGCAGCGCAGCGCGCATGTGCTAACCATTCGGCCATCCAACCCCCCCAAGCATTTCGGCATATTTTTCATTGAGGGTTCTTCTACATGCATGCAACATGTACACAAGCCTTCAAGTTCGAACAAATGAAATGAAATGGAGTTTAACGTCCTGCTGTTCTGCGCCGTACTGAGCTACGCCATACAGTATGCTATGAGGGAAATTTTGCCCGGACAGCGGCACTACGGCCTACTATTATATCAAATTCCAAATGTTATGGGATCTTTTACATGCACTACAATGTGTTCACACGACCTCATCCGGCCGAACGAATAGACAGCTGTCCTTGTCAGGCCCTCTGTCCTTCATCACTGACAAGGGAGAACCTCGCAAAAAAAATCTGGATGAACTTTCTCGGCCAATGCAGGCATCGAAAACCGGACCTCCAGGCGAGCGGGCCAGCGTCTTACCTATTTAGCCACCTTGATCAAAATTAGAGAATTAACAATCATAAATATTTATTTTATTTCATAGAATGTTTATGAATAAAGAATAATACAGTGTGGGCGTGCAAAATGGCAGGAAATGTAATTGGTATTTTAATTCCTGGATTGTTTAAACAACAAAGTTCGTTTTAATTCCTGGATTGTTTAATCAACTAGGTTCAATTTTAATTCCTGGAATGTTTAATCAACTAAGTGTGATTTGACTTTGATGTCGTAACTTTTAACACCCGAAGAGTCAAAAGATCACCGAATATGTTGATAACCAGTTCACTTACTTCAGCTGCTGCAGACGGCAAATTTCAAAATGGTCAGTTATCTACACTGCTAGCACACTACAGTTAATTCATTTTATACAAAATTGCTTTTACAGTCACAAAAGCCCTCAAATAACACAAACAAAACTTTATGAATAACAATCATTAGCAACTTTAATAGTGTAACGTTTCAACAAATAATCCCTTGTCGTTATCAAACACAAGCTAAACAATAATACGATACAAAAAACTGGAAGCAAATATTTAAGTATAAAAAAATAAATGGAATCAGAAAGACAAGAATTAAAAATACAAAAGATCAAAAACTGTCGAGTCATGATTACAAAAACTTGTAATGAGAGAGAGAGAGAGAGAGAGAGAATTGGGGTTTAACATCCACGTGACACAAACTAGGTCATTTCAGGACTAACATATTCAATTTTTATTTCAATAATTTGATTGTGCGTAGGGGATTTAGCTGTGGGAGGAAACCGGTTGACACTGAGAAAACCTACAAGGTTGGACAGGTGCCCCTACTCCTTATCAAGTACAAGCAGGCCACCCAATTCCCCCAGATAATTAAGAAGCCATTACCCAGAGCAATGGGTTCCAGGTGGTTTTAACAATGAGTATTTATTCCATTGACTGTCGAAGATGATGACAAGTCATCGTTGCTTCCTGTTAAAGAGTCACTCATATCAAATTTACCATAATAATTTGGTGCTGGCATTTTAATACGGAGCCACCTGGAAATAAACAACAAATGATAATTTATACATCAAAAAATAACAAGCGGGATCGTCAATCTGATTCATTTTATACAAAATTGCTTTTACAGTCACAAAAGCCCTCGTTTATTTTTTTTATTGTTAAAATTTTCATTTTACTTGTCTTAACTACACTAACCTGCGTTCTGGCTGATGTGAGGGATTAGCCAAGGAAACGGACAGTTACGGCGACTTCTTAGCGTGCCATGAACAAAACTGTGGGTAAACCACTAGAAACGTCAACGCTGATTGATTAATCAATATGTGACGTCATAGAGTCAAAAGCCACACATACGACCCCTGACACAACCTCCCATTACAACTGGTCAGATTTTCATGTAGTGTATGTAGGGCATCAAAGTTTAAAAAAACGAAACGAACTATAAATCTCTATTTTAATCAGATTGAATTTTGCTATAATAGTTCAAAAATAGACCATGAAAATTGAATACAGTATATTGAAAATGTCATTCAAATTACTTTATTCTGGAAGAAGTTCTGACTGTTTGAAGATGTAGTGCAGATCATTTATTATTATAGCACTTATTAAATCTTGCAGATGTTCAAATCCATTTTAAGTTACAATTTCATATTTTTAAGTTATATTTTTAAAATGTATTAAAATAAAGCCTTAAAATAGATGGTATCTATAAACAGTCCTACCTTGTTAAAGAATAATACTATAAATCCTATAATTCACTATTGCCAGTTGAGAAATTGGCAAAAATATCATTTTCAACTTCAAATTCAAACGCTTGAAGATAGTTATTCATGGTGAGGAATAGAAAAACAAGGGAGGTAATTGTGTTATTATTTCCAGTGTGAAGTGTGAGAAAGATAACCTATGATCGTATAATAGTGAGTTGACAACCTATTGAGCAAAAGACATAGAAATAATTATGTTTTGACTTTCTTAGAAAATATGAAATTGTAACTTTAAATGGTCTTTTCATATGAATAACACCATATCCCTCTCTAGCTTTTGAAAGAGTGTGTCTATTCTTCCCATTCAATCAAATCTCTCCTAAGTACAGCAAGATGACAGTCCTTCGTTTAATCCCTGGTCTTTGCTAAAACTTTGGACAGTGATTTAAGGTAGTAAAAATGGTGAAAGTATTGTTGGTCTTCAAACAGTATTGTTTACATTGTATTCGTTTGTCACGCAATATTCTGCTATGCACTGGTTAATTGGGCATAATAAAATCGTGAGTGATGATATTTGGAGCTCTGTTTGATCGCGAATGATATTGTTAAGCAGTTAGCTATTTGTTGTTAATCGGACTATCGACTAGTCATAATTTGGAACAGAAATTTGCTTTCATTATGGAAGTGTTGAGTGGGATTAGGTCTACTGAAACTAGAAACAGTGCTAGGAGTATGGTTTAGCTCTTGCATGTAACATATAGGGGTTTAACTTTTCTACCTAAACAGAGTTTTGGCAACAAGTATTCCCAGGTAAAATCTGGAGTTTCTAGCTCAATCAACAGGTTATCCCAAATAAAATCTGGGGCTTCTAGCTAAATCTACAGGTAATCCCAGGTAAAATCTGGAGCTTATAGCTTAATCTACAGGTAATTCCAGCTAAAATTTTGAGTTTCTCTCCTATAGGTACTTACAGAATGATGAACAGTCCGATAATAACAATGGCCGCCAACAACAGGAAGCAGAAGCCAGGATAAAATGAAAGCGAGGCTGGATACACATAATTAAATATCAAGGTAGCCATGATGGAGGCGATACTTTCTAATGATGCTATTAAACCAAATAATCGTCCTGGAATAAAAACAAAACGTGGTTAATTATGTTTCAGGAAACCGCAGTGGCTCAGTGAAGATGATGCAGCTGGATTGCAAATCAGACCACAAGTTCACAAAGCATTCTCAGACTTAAGTTAAGAATTTACTCAAAATTGTTTGCCTTATTTTAGCCTTTAAAAAACTTTTGTTGTTTTAGTGTATCAAATACATCAATAAGAAATATGTGCAAAGTTTTGTGTTTCTGGATCAAAGATATTTCTTATAAAGAGTGATTGAAAGTTGAGTAAATTCTCAACCTAAGTCAGGTTCGCTTCCAGTGTTGGCTGAGTAAATTCTCAAGATTTTTCATTCTGGTTTCCCCTTGTCAGTGGTGCAGGACGCCAGACCTGACAAGGACAGTGTATATAGTTGTTCAGATGGGACAAAAAAGGAGTTCTCATGTATACACATTGGCGTGCATGTTAAAGATCCTTTGACAGTTGGAATTCGAAATTTAAGAGTAGACTGCAGCACTGCTGTATGGGCAAAATTTCCCTCATAGCACACTGAATGGCATATGCCTGTCTTTATTAGCTCAGTTGGTCCAGAACAGTAGGACGTTAAACCCCATTTCATTTCATTTCTATCGATATGTAGTGCTCGCAACTTTCCATTCCAGAGTTACTCCCCTGTTTCTGAAAACCTTGTGAAAATCTCTTCAAATTATGTTTCACTGCAAGACAAAAACATGGTCAGAGAGAGAGAGAGAAAAGGAGTTTTACATCCATTTAACACAAAGTAGGTCATATGATTCAATTCTATTTCAATAATTCACTTCCCTGTAGGGGTCTTTAGCAGCGAGAGGAAACCGGAGGACCTGGAGAAAACCCTCGAGGATGGACAGGTGGCCCTACTCCTTGTAACTTACAAGCGGGGAATCGAAACCATGCTACCGGACTCAATGATAGACTTAAAGAAAGACCTTAGATCAGCCACCCCCCCCCCCCCCACAAACACATGGTATTTTTGGTTTTGATAATGTTAAAGCATACCATGTTCATCTTTATGTACTTGTTGACTGACACCCGATCTGATACCTGCAGCTGGAAACCCAATAAACATTGATACAGCACCACCTAAAATATACAATTCACCATCATCTGAACAAAAATCTGAACGACCCTCATCAACACAATGTCTACCAAATCTGGTTAAAATACATAAAGAACACACAGATATATAAATCAACAAAAAATTGGGGGCATGACTGCATTCCTGACATATTTTGAAACGAAATAACAATAATTATAATAATGTGCATTTATAGAGAGCTTCATTAATTCATCTTAATTATCTCTAAGCGCAGTAATAAGTCAATGACTACTGAGGATAATACATCAAAAACATTATGTGTCCAAGTCCAGATGATCTCTAAGCGCAGTAAAAAGTCAATGGCTATTGTGGACAATACATCAGAAACATTATGTCTCTAAGCACAGTAATAAGTATTGTGAATAATACATCAAGAGCATTATGTGTCTTAATTATGTTCTACGCACGGTAATAAATCTATGACTACTGTGGATAATACATCACGAACATTATGTGTCTAAGCGCAGTAAAAAGTCAATGGCTATTGTGGACAATACATCAGAAACATTATGTCTCTAAACACAGTAGTAAGTATTGTGAATAATATCTCACAAGAGAGGGAGAGAGAAATGGGGTTTAACGTCCACTCGACACAAACAAGGTCATTTCGGGACTAACATATGGTTTAATTTTATTTCAATAATTCGCTTGCGTGTATGAATCTTAAGCAGTGGGAGGAAATTGGAGGACCCGGAGAAAACCCACGAAGCTGGACAGGCGACTCTACCCCTTGTCACATACAACGGGAAAATCGAAACCATGCCAGTTGACTTATGATACAACGTGCACACACCAACCATTCGGCCATCCAACCCTCTGATATAACAAATGAATGCACTGATCGATTTGGTACATAAACTTAATTGAGTCGATGGAAAAACAAGCGATAGTTTATTCATACTGGTCGATTTGGTACGAAATGCTTCACAAGTTCCTCCATAAGATGGGGAGGAAGGATGTGTGTTGGGGGGGGGGGGGGGGGAGGGGGGTAAGCGTCTGCCTGCTGTTTCTGTGGACATCAATCTCTCTCTCTCTCTCTGAATCTGTCTTAACGTCCACTCGACACAAACTAGGTCATTTCGTGACTACCATTGGTTTACTTTTATTTCAAAGATAGGTTGCCAGGCAACGAAACATACGCCCACAGCAGCTAAATCGTCCGGGCAGTCAACAAGAGTTGTCGCATATTTTTACTTTTTTCGGTAATGAAACATTTATAATACACTAAAATCTGATTAAGACCAACAACTGAGAAAACCATTAGAATTTGTTTGGTTTTTATAAAGTTTTGAACCATGCTAACGTTTTGTATACAAAACTTTTAATATCATGGATTTAGCTGTTCCAAGTCATAAAAATTCATTGAAAATCAATATACTTGTTCCTCTCAAGATCTTAAACTCTGTGTATCAATCTGAAGTCAATCGGATGATAACTTTAGCCTTTAGAGCGTCACAAGATTTTTTGAAGTGATCAAGGGCCATAACTTTGGCAGTAATTATCGAAAATCGGTGAAAATCAATAGACTTCTTCGTCTCATGACATTAAACACTGTGTATAAATTTAAAGTCAATTGAATATTAACTTTGGCCTGTAGAGCATCCACAAGATTTTTTGAAGTGATCAAGGGCCATAACTCTGGCAGTAATTATCGGAAATCGCTGAAAATCAATAGGCTTCTTCGTCTCGTGACCTTAAACACTGTGTACAAATTCAAGATCAATCGGATATTAACTTTGGCCTCTAGAGCGTCCACAAGATTTTTCAAAGTGATCAAGGGCCATAACTCTAGCAGTAATTATCGGAAATCGCTGAAAATGCGTTTGCGTGTAGGGGTCTGTGTGCGTATAAAAATGTGGGCGTATAAAAATGCGCTTGCGTGTAGGGGTCTTTAGCAGTGGGAGGAAACCGGAGGACCTGGAGAAAACCCACGAGGTTGGACTCATACCAAGGAGATGAATGATGCTGAGACTGATTGACCAATGATAAGCGGGTCCTCCGGTTTCCTTCCACTGCTAAAGACCCCTACGCACAAGCGAATTATGTAAATAAAATTAAACCATATGTTAGTCCCGAAATGACCTAGTTTGTGTTGAGTGGATGTTAAACCCCATTTCTCTCTCTCTCTCTCCAATGATAAGACTTCGAATTTGATCTTGACTAATTTTACCTGTAAACATTGTCCATGTATGTTGGAAGCTGTAGAATATAAAACCAGTTATTCGTGTCATTAATCCTAGAATAATCAGAGTTGTATCCTTCAAATGGAATTTATATTTTAATAATGGCATCACAGTAATTAGAGTTATTCCCCTTAGAAAGTTCTCCAATCCCCTTAAATATCCATACATTGTCGTTGACCAGTTTAAAGGATGTCGAGTAACGTATAAATACAGAACATCCATCTCACCTGTAAATAAAATAAAAAATCATTCTGTAATTACTGATGTCACCGAATATTCTATAATTATTGATGTCACAGAGTACTCTATAATTACTGACGTCACACCTATTATTCTATAATTACTGACATTCTATAATTACTGACACTGACGTCACACAATATTCTATAATTACTAACATCACAGGGTATTCGATAATTAGAGTACCAGTATTCTATAATTACTGACATCACAGTGTTTTCTATAATTACGGACATCACAGAGTACCAGTATTCTATAATTACTGACATCACAGAGTATTCTATAATTACTGACATCACAGTGTATTCTATAATTACGGACATTACAGAGTATTCTATAATTACTGACATCACAGTGTATTCTATAATTAATGACATCACAGTGTTTTCTATAATTACTGACATCACAGAGTACCAGTATTCTATAATTACTGACATCACAGAGTATTCTATAATTACTGACATCACAGAGTATTCTATAATTACTGACATCACAGAGTATTCTATAATTACTGACATCACAGAGTATTCTATAATTACTGACAAGACATCACAGAGTATTCTCAATGTATTATTAAAAGACACAGAACAGTCTATAATTATTGAAGCAATGAGAACCTGGTGTTTGTCAAACTCTGGAAAGTTAATAGAGAGAGAGAAATGGCGTTTAACGTCCACTCGACACAAACTAGGTCATTTCGGGACTAACATATGGTTTAATTTTATGTCAATAATTCGCTTGCACATAGGGGTCTTTAGCAGTGGGTGGAAACCGGAGGACCCAGAGAAAACCCACGAGGTTGGACAGGTAACCCTACTCCTTGTCACGTACAACCGGATGATCAAAACCACACCAGTTGACTCAATGACAGACATTATGATACAGCGCGCACGTGCTAACCATTCGGCCATCCAACCAATCAGATAGTTAATAACGGACAAGTTGTTGTTTATGCTGTTACCATATTACAACACTGAGATAAAGATTTGGCTGATTTTCCAATCAAATTCATGGTAAGCCTATTTCATATTGCTGGAGGGTCAATCTATAAACGAAGAATTTCAGAAATTAGGTTCAAGTTGAAGACTCAAGGAACTCAAGACTCAGGGAAGACATCATTATGAAAATCGATGTGGAGGTTTTGAAATTGGTTCCATATGACATTTTGCATTCATACAAACTATAGCTTATCGTTCCATTAGCAAAGCCTTAGGTTATCTCCCTTGATATTTGGTACAATTCGCAAATCCGTCGGTTATTGGTGGGGGGGGGGGGAATGGTTAGCACGTGCGCGCTGTATCATAAGGTCTGTCATTGACTCAACTGGCGGCGTTTTCGATTCCCTGGTTGTACGTGACAAGGAATAGGGTCGCCTGTCCAACCTCATGGGTTTTCTCTGGGTCCTCTGGTTTTCTCCCACTGCTAAGAACACACAACTGAATCATAAAATAAAATTGAACCATGTGTTAGTCCCGAAATGTTCTATTTTGTGTTGAGTGGATGTTAAACCCCCTTTTTTCCTCTCCCCCCTCTCTCTCTCTCCTCATCTCTCTCACCTCAGATTATTTCGCTTGATATTGGGTACCATTAGCAAATCCCCAAATCCCCCTTGATATTGGATATTTAACCCTCATGTTATCCCCCTTAATATTGGATACCACCATTAACAAAGCCTTGGGTTATCTCCCTTGGTATTTGATATGAAACCCTTTGGTTATCCCCCCTTGATATTGGATACTGTACCTGATGTGGCAACCATCAGCAACAAAAGAACAAGAATCATCAACCCGATGAAAACCTTCACGCCTTCTTCTCTATCCTTATGAATAAACTCTAAAATCCCCGAAATTCGACTTGCCATGATCCTCGCGCATCCGACGTCATCTGCTGCCTGTCTATCAGGTTTTACATCCGGTAGCCATATAAGGACATACAGAATTAATACAACAAGAAGTCCAGTCGTAAAACTGAAGGTAAAAACAAAACCCAGTTGATCAACCATTAGTCCCGAACAAAACACACCAATTGTTCCCGCTAGAAATATCATCGCTTCAACGACTGAAACACGGACAGTTTTCGATTTGTCTGCAGATATGTTTGTTATGTAGCTATAAATAACCATCATCATCGCCGTAAACGATCCGCCACATCCACCAATAATTGAACCAATCAACAAGTAGCTTGCATCCAGATCGACGTAAACACTGTTTAATAAGTTAGTAACATTTGCAAATACTCCAAAACCCACTGTAATCAAAATGGCTGCTTTATGGCTGACATGATCAACCAGTGGGCTGAGAAAAAACAAAACGACCAGACACGATGGTACCAAACCGGCGACATTATTCATCAAAATCCAATGTGACGTCTCTGACTGAACAAAGTCTTCTTCGTCTCGATATTCCGACATATTTGCTGAACTGTTTTTCAAATTTTGACAGAAAGTTTTATTATATTGTTGGACACAGACTTTACTGTAAATGAGAGCTTGGAATGCTGGGAAGGTAATGAACACGGCCATCATGTAGAAGAACATCACAGGTTCCACCGTGACGCGGAAATGAGAACAAGACAACACCATCTTGGTTCAGAGATGTCGAAGTGTCAAACTGTCAATCACATCATCCTAAAATACAACAGTGAAAAGTCAAATTATATGTTATATTATGTAATCTTTGAGTGGCATTTAGCGATCGGGAAACACATTTTTATGTGATACAATCAGTAGTTTTGTTCTAAAAGCATGACGTGTTGGGGTGTTTAGGGGTGTTTAGCAGTGGGAGAAAACTGCAGCCCGAAGAAAACACACAAGGTCACCTGTCCAATCACGTGGGTTTTCTCCGGGTCCTCCAGTTTCTTCCCACTGCTAAACACCCCTAAACGCAAGCGAATTAATGAAATAAAAATGAACCACGTTAGTCCCGAAATAATCTAGTTTGTGTTGGGTGGTCGTTAAACCTCATTTCCCTTCTCTCTTTCTCCGCTCTGACTGGGCTAATGAAGACGGGCATACACCATGGCATACAGTGTGCTATGATGGAAATTTTCCATGACAATGGCATTATATGGCCTACACATTTATTGAATTCCAACTGCCACAGGATCTTTTTATGTACACGACAATATATATATACACGGGACCTCAGTTATCTGCTCCATCCGAACAACTCAACAGTACAGCTGTTCTTGTCAGCCCCCCCCCCCCCCCCCCCCCCCCGTCCTGAACAACTGAAAAGGGGAAACCACGTTGGAAAATCCTGATGAACTTTAAGTTTTTTGGCCAATACAGGGATCGAATGCACAATATGAGGGAAATTTTGCCCAAACAGTAAATAAATTCCAACTGTCAAGGGTCATGGGCTTAATTAGTTCAGCTCTGGGGGAGTGTAATGTGACCTACGTTCAGAGCCGAACTAGGGGTTCATTTACATGCATGGGACAACATCTGTTTTTTTTTCCATGTCAGTTTGTCACCAACTGATAAACACTTTTTCTTACTGGTGATCAAGTTGTCAGCACCTTAATTAATTGCTTCAAGCCACTACCTGCTACAAGAAAAGGTGTTTGGAAAAATTGCTGTTGACAGGTGAGGTACTAAAGTTCCGGTAATAACGAAATATTCACCAGTAAATGGCTATTTTTATGTGACTTTAGAAGTTATAGGCCTGGGGGCGGAGGCCCTATATTCACGTGTAATATTCAACAATATATTATCATTACCTACCTGTGTAGCTTGTTCTAGATTGTCCAGATAGCATGTCAGAAGATTTACTTTACGAAGATCGATACCAATAATCCCATGTTAAAGGAGCTAAGTCGCTAATAATTGGGACCTAGAAATTGACACAAATGGGTCGCAACGCATACAATAATGTAATATGAATGTATATAAATTGATTTACATTCAATCGTTTCTTTTTTACTGTAATTTCTAATCAGTTAGGTTCGGCGACATACGCCAGTATTTTCAATCGAATGTCAATCTCTAGCATCTGGTTATTCCAGTCTACGCCGGTAGTATTTATTGGGCATGCTCTCCAGATAAGAATATATTATATAGCGTCACCGTTTGACATGACTTGTGGAATATGCCTAGCCTCGTTTTTAAAGTCCCTTATTACAAATAGCACTGAAACGCATTATGGTACACGATTCGTGTACCAATTGTAAAATGTTTATTTTGTCTTAAATATTGGATATCAGAAGGCCATCTTTTCCCGGTAATATCACAACATCAATGTTGATTTAAATCGACAAATAAATCGTGTTTTAAATGTCGAAGATTTTGGATGATATTGAGTTAGAGACTTAGCTACTTTAATCGCACTTACTGCATTTAGTAATTCGATCCTTATCTACTTCATATAATAAAGTGAAAGTCTTCTAAAGTCAAGCCACGGTTTCATTATTATTATCCTTTCAACCTCTCACGGAACTGAATGTTTGGAAGATAACTCTTAACTTCAACCCGGATACAGACCACTATTAGTTTCTCCACCATTCTTATTTTCTTAATAATATTCATAAATAAATAAATTACTCGAACTTTAGATGTAATCCGCTGACATACCTTGCTTTGGCGAGACATTCATACCTAGTGGCACTGCTATATATTCTTCTGTGAAATGATATGGGGATGATTTAACGTTATATTGTTCTTCACGCGGATCGGAATTCAAGAACGATAACTTCTTTTAAGGGAGAAAATCATAAATCACATTTTATTTAATATCTTTCAAAAATAAACATTTAATATCCTAAAAGACATAGCAAATTAAAGAGACTGACAATTAATGTTGAATAACAGAAATGTCTTTTTCGTGTTTTAAAAATGTTATTTAAACCAAAAGGATGATTAAATCTCTTTTACCACCACAAAAAAATGCAAATGTTCTAAAGTATTCACCGCGCGTGTCAATAGTTGTTATGACGACAATATATACCCACATATTGTACGCCCACCAGCAGCTAAGTCGTTAAGACAAAGAATATTTGTAATCCACTTAAGTGGGTTAATATTAAAATTACATCAGGTATCTAATCTCAAGAGAGAGATAAATGGGGTTTAACGTCCACCCGACACAAACCAGGTCGTTTCTGGACTAACATATGGTTTATTTTTTTTATTTCAATAATTCGCTTGCGCGTAGGGGTCTTTAGCAGTGGGAGGACCCGGAGAAAACTCGCGAGTTTGGACAGGCGAGCCTACTCCTTGTCACGTACAGCCGGGGAATCGAAACCACGCCAGTTGACTCAATGACAGACTTTATGATACAGTGCACACACGCTAACCATTCAGCCATCCCCCCCCCCCCGGTTACTAATCGTAAATTGCTGAGGGTTGTTTGAAACAGTATTAATTTCGAGATTATTATACAATATAATGGCATAAAGAAATAAACTGGGTTTTAACGTCCTACTGTTTTGCTTCGATCTGGGCTAATGAAGACGGGCATACACCATACCGTGTGCTATGAGGGACATCGGCAATATGGCCTACTCTTATATCGAATTCCAACTGTCAAGGGATCTTTAAAGTACACGCCAATGTGTACACGGGACCTCGGTTTTTCGTATCATCCGGGTGACTAGACAGCTGTCCTTGTCAGGCTCTCCGTCCTGCATCACTGACAAGGGGGGACCGACCACGCCGGAAAATCTGGGTGAGCTTTCTCGGCCAATGCAGGGATCGAAAACCCGACCTCCAGACTAGCGAGCCACCATCTTACCCAGTTAGTCACATGATCCCCATACGCTGATGAAATAATAATTATTTTTTAAAGTTTTAAGACCAAAATAAATGATACGCGAGCAAACTAGGTCATTTCGGGACTAACACATTCACGTGCTAACCACTCGGCCATCCAATCACCCATGGTACAAATAAGTAGATAAGTAATTTTGAATAAATAAATAAATAGAAAATAGATAAATAAGAATTAATAAATAAATAAAATAAAATAAAAATAATAGAGTGTTGATTATTGGTTTCGCAAGTGAATAAATATCTTAATAACAAATTATTTTTAGACCAATCTCAAGATCTGCAATTTGGCTTCACAAGTGAATAAATGGTTTATGACAGTTTTTCTCATTTTTTATGGCAAAACTACATCGCAGTAGACTTATTTCATAAAATTAATAAAACAATAATATGTACCCGATCAGACATAAAGATTGTGTAGCAATAATATTTTCAGTAAGTGGGAAAAACGTCAATCAGTCAGGAGGGTATACCGAAATTAGTCCGGGGTGCTACGGCGACGGAAAATGGTTTCAGAGCGCGTCAAGATAGCCATAAGCGTGGTAAAAACGCCAGATATCGTGCTGTGGTCTCCATGGTCACCAATGATCCCCGAGTCACGGCGTTTGCTTTGAGCATGTTCAATACAAACGCCAAAGGCGCTGAGATCTGACCTAGAAAGCTGTGAGAACGTGGCTTTTTTCAAGTTTGTAATTTTTGGGGACATTTTCTCGCGTTGTGTTCCCGTTTGCTGGCGACTTTGTCCATTTTCTGGTCGCCCTAAGGTCGCCGCAGGACGCTACCCCGGTCTGACCGGGGCATAATTGGTAGTTGAATAGCTAGCCGGATGTAGACACTGTGCTGTGACAAGGCATACACTGGATGTTAGCTACGAGAACGTAACTAAAAACGCTAAGATATACTGATGTGCTTGTTTTTAGCTACGATTGGATGCCTTTACTTCCAAATGGCAAACTCAATTTCTTTACCAACTGAAAATATCTTAATTTTATAGTCCTACTTATTACACATACATAGTCCAATCTACTGAAACAACATTCATTTATCAGCAAATATTGAAAATAAAGTAAATAAAGTGTTGTTTTTTATCAAAATTGATTCGGACGTTGTAATACTATAAGACTTCTTGTTGTGTTTACTTTCTGGTGATCTTTAATAAGACTACAGCATAAAATAGTTTCACAACTTTATTTCTAAGTTGTACTGGCTTTGCAGGTTCCTCGTTCTCAATGATAATGGCTGGTAGGAATTTCTGGGTGAGCTCTAATCCAGCTCGCCTCTACACCCTAATTTATATCCCCTAATTTCTGCAGGTCTTCGATAACCTTGACGTTAATTTCCACGCCATATAAGGAATAAAAGTCTTTATTTCCCACAAATAAGATAGGAAACATTACCTATTTTTGGTCTATCAACCATAGGTCAATTAACAGCCAGAATTTGATGACTATTTTGATTATGAATATAATTTGACCAAAATATCACTGTTTTTTATGAATAACTATACCCACGTTCATTAAGTACGTGAGATTAGACGTTATAGACAAAATTGAAGAGACAATTTTATAAAGACCCAAAATTGTCTCAAGGGCTAAAGTGCTACAACGTTCATAATTACGGCGTATTACTACTGCGCAACTCTGATCAGATTAGTACTTTGATTGGCTATTGCACACGAGGCCCCGCCTTTATGTGTTACAGACGTAAATTTAAAATGTCGGAAAAAGCAATCTACTGTCGCTTTGATTTAAAAAGAGGAGATTTGTACCCGTTTCAGGTAGGATTATATGCTTAATTGTAGTTGGGTGTGGCGGAAATATTATAAATAACAATAACCAATCGTTGTTTTGATTTAAAATATTGTCAATTTTGTTTACAAATGCCGGGTGCGAATCGCTCCCGCATGTGCTACGTCGAAGTTAATAGCACCATTTCTTATCTCGAAACACGGAGTGTTGTGAGATAAGATTTGTTATCTAACTGGATGTGGGCGTTTTCTGCCTCTGTTTTTGTACGCCGTAAGCAATCGCATGTTTGTTGTTCTACAAATTAAAAACAAGTATGGCGATTTTTTTAGGGTGTTAACTTTTTTGTTTTGTTTAATTATTTCTGCAGTTTTGTAATCGGAGTTCAGCTTTAATGAATTATATAAAATTTAAGGCCAAACTAACATAGGCGTACGGGCTTGATGACAGTTAGGGGGGCAGAACACGAAATGCCCGAAAAAAAATTGCGTTTACAGACAGGGGCTACCCCCCCCCCCCCTGCGTTTTCCTGCTATTTCAGCCAGTGAACAAAGCAACTTCAAAGGGGTCTAATATATCCTTATTAAGGTGGCTGACTCAAATTCCAATCAATCGTTTACAGTCCACGAAGACGGGACTGTTGGGAGAAAATTTGACTGTCGCAAACGCGATTTCCTGCTATTCCAGTCTGTGAAAACAACAAATTCAATGTGGTTCAATGTAGCCTACCTGGCTGACCCAAATTCCAATCAACCAATCAATTGTCGCGGGATATGGGGGCCTGAAAATTTAACCACCACAAATGCGTTTTCTGCTATTCTAACCCGTGTAAGAAACTCCAAAAGTGTCCAATAGTTTTGTAACCGAAAACCCCCTCTGAATTCCACCCATCCAATCAGACTGTTGCAGCTGCATTCACAATTAATAATCGATACCGAAAAAAGTGGCTCCAAAGACAAAATGTTTTAATCCATAGTCATCTCAGTACAAATTCGTGGTATTCAATTAAAAGAAAAGTAAAATTAGTGTTTTATTAGAGCTCGATGACAATTTCGGGGGGCAGAACCCTAAATGCCCGAAAAAATTTCGGGTTTACCGACAGCGACGCCAGTCTTCTTCGAGAGGTGAAGAAGCGGAGCTGATCTTGTTTGGACCCCCAAAAAAATTTTGGAATATTTGACGGCCGCAAACGCGTTTTCCTGCTATTCCAGCACGCACGTAAAATTAGTGTTTTATTAGTTTCCGGACACTTTTTCTTTGCCGTGTAGATGAAATTTTTTTTTTTATCACTTTACCCGTCTGCCCGAAAAGTCAGATTGCCCGAAAGTTAGGGGGGCAGGGTGGCAGGGCAGCTCGTACGCCTATGCAAACTAAAATCTCCAAGTCCAATAGACAGATTTAGCTCTTACATAATACATCGTTAAAGTTTACAGCGCAGTGGACGCTCACGGGTATCCGAGGAGTCACTCATTTCATTTGATATTGTCTTGTCCGCAGGTTTGTCTTGAACGTTTTACTTT